CAGTGAGGGTGACTGGGTGTCACCCAACCATTAGCTGCCAGGAAGTAGATGGACAACTTTGCTGTACCATGTAACAGTAATGTCATATTCTCATTCTTGTTGCTAAGCCCCACTGTGCATGTGCAGTACTGTTCAGGCATCTCAGATGATCATCGTCTTTCCTGAAGAAAGGCAGGCAGAAAACTCTGATTTTTACAAGCAAGTCAGTAAAATACTAATATCTGCAAAACAGTAACAGAATAATTAATGTTAAGGAAAGTAAATGAACGCTGTCAGAAGTGCCTGGGAACCCACGCTGAGAAGATGGCCTTTTCAGTGCTTGCTGTGTCTTCCTAGCTGGAACCTGGGAAACAGTTGCTAGTCAGAAACATGCCTTTTTGTTACCCAAGGAATGGCCTGATGGAAACTCACCCATTTAGGAAAGCAAGGTCACAGAGCACCCAAAAAAAACCCTGAAAACTCCTTTAACCCATTAGCCCACGAGTCGATTTCCTATATGAACTGAAAAGTGCATGACATAATGGATGTAAGCACATGAGGTAAGACCGTCATTATAAAACCAGTGTTGGAGTGTTCCTACAGCAGTCTACTTGATGTTGCTGATAAGGGGCATTCCACCAGTACTTAATGTATTCAATGTTCTTTCTCAGCATTAAGCCATTTGCCAGCATACCACGCAGTCCTGGGTGCACATCTGTCTTTCTGACCCCTCATTTGTGTTCCTTAAAATGCAACTGAGATGTCAGTCATTGAGCTTGCCAGTTGCTTCCTGCTGTCTGTCCTCTTTGCCCAACCTTCTCGCCTACCATGTCTCAAGATGGCAGCACCTTGAAGTCAGAAAATACAAACCGAGTACAATTAGCTGATTAACTGGGGCAAGGGCAAGCTATTCAAGAGTAAGTACTCCTCTGATATCATGGGTTGTGTCATTAATACTTTTTCAATCATAATCATTGTCAGGCAATATCATTTGAAGTATATGCATGCTGCCTGTTCAAACTGTTTGTCACAGTGTTTAAGACACATAGCAAGGTTCTCACTGTTTGCTGCTAGTTACTTAAAATGGTCCTGGGAAGATTAATGGATTGCAGAATAGGAATTACAGGAGCTTATTATTTTTTTAGCCCATCCAATTTTCTGTGGTTTCCAATGGATATACCATACTGTCTGCCCAGAACTCTTGAACTATGAATTCAGGTGAAGGTGGAACTGGATGAGTACATGGATTAAGAAGGAAGTCACCACAAAGCCATCATATATAACTGAGGCAGACACACAATTTCCAAGAGTTAAGATGTTGTGCCTGTTGTAGACAAATAAAGAGGATGTGACATTTCATGGCAACACGACTGCAGGGACTAACTGTAGTCAGCTAACACATCTTGTGAGCATTAGCACCTAGTATTGACATGATTATATGGCACTTAAAAATGCATTAATCAAAATGCATTAATTGGTGAGTCTTAAAAAAACAAACCTGAACCATGAACCCTCTCAGTATATGTCCGAGTTTTCATAGGACAGAATATTCCATTTCATGCTGAGGGAAAATTCCTTTATGTTGATGACTTACTATCAATGAATATTTACAAAAAGAAATATCAGAACTTCTGTAAAAAGCCCATCTTTTTATTTGAGAATATATAGTGCCAAAATATTTGAATTTTATGAATCTAGACTGTATTTTGCTTAAATAAGCTGGTGAGGTGCTATCTTTTCTCCCCTTATTCTACAGCCTACTCATGCAGTCATCAATACAAAGATAGGTAATTTCAATCAGATCTTTATTTACTCTTGAAGGCATACTGCAAACAAATCATTAATTGCAAAAAAAAAGTAAAAAATGTGTACAATACTGTAACAAGCAAGAGGAATTGCAGATGCAGAATCTAATTAGGAAAAGTTAAGCAGAAATCAGTTTTATTTGGATACAACAAACAGATTAATTACAGTTGCTTGGATACTAATCATATAATAATTTGTAAGCAAACAAACAAAAAAAAGTTCAGCACAGATAAGTTGGTAACTGAAGAAGCATTGTGCAATTTATAGGAATCCCTCTTGTCTTATGACAAGTCTAGCCTACTCATGAACAAGATATTAGTGATCCTTTATGTATGTATGTTATTCTGTTACTATTTGGTGGTTGTTTGAGTTTTTTTGATTCTGGCAGCGTGTTGAGTATCCTTCCCTGTGAATTGAATGGTACTTCTTATTACTGTCTGTCTACCTGCAGCTTTTGGTATAACACTTCAGAGTCCCAAAGACAGAAACTTCTCCCTGTTTGTATAGAGCATGACGAACATCTTGGGGTTTATAGATCAAGATATTCAACCACTGGCTGGTGATTTCTCTTGCCTGTTATCAGGTGCTCTTCTTCCTAGAAGGCCATTGGCACCAGATGTGTTGCTTTGATTGTAGTCTCCTGCTTGTGGTCATTTTCTTTTCCAAGGGCTTTAAGGTTCCTTCTCATCTTTTGATGAGCTATTATGTGGTAAGAGCTATGGGGCTCCCAGGAAAGGTGGCAATCAGGAGTGTGGCTGCCACTGATGGAACAATTCATCCTGCTCCCTTTCCAGATAGATACTCATGAATTGCTCCTGTGGTTGCAAGCGGTTGCCAGCTTCTTCCTTCCCAAGAGGTCTTCAAGTGCTAGTACACAGGCAGGACATGTGTGCACGTGTCTGTGTGTGTTGCAGTTGACCTATGTATGTGTAGTTAGAGTCTTGACTGTGTGTGGGCAGGTGGATGTGCAGTGCTTTCACGGTAGGTATGGGCATGATCCAAAGGTGGAATTACAGCGCTGTGCTTTTCTTCCAGCCTCTCAAAGCTGGAAGAAGGTAGGTCATCCACCCAGCTGGAAGGCCAAGGCACTCCTCATGTAGAGTTTCCTCTTTACTTTCACTAAAACAGAAAACATGCCAAAACAATGAAGAGGTCCTCAAGTAAGGGGACATTAAAGCCTTCAGTATTAATTAAGCACTCAAAGGATGGGATAAGACAATTAATAAATCATACATATGCAAGTCTGCTCCCCATTGCACTGCAAAAATTGTTTTCCTTTAACTTAAATTAGTACACACTAATTACTTAATGTATTATAGTACTTTTTTCCTTAGGTGTCTAGATAATCACTTTTAGCAACAGGTGATAGAAAATAAGTAGGAATCTTGCATAGAACCTTCTGCTCAACATATTAAATATGGGGGACATGATGAAAGACAAATTAAATCTTGTGAAAAGGTACACGAGCTGACCTTAATGGACAGTGAGAACGTGACTGTGCTTATAGACTCATCACAGTGTGACCATGTAAGCGCATTTATTATTGTCTGAGCCTGCTCAATATTTTCTTTGTATTGAAGAATAGGAAACAATTTGCCATGTAAAATGGTTTGGTAACAGTCTGCTAGGCCTGCATGAATAAAACCAAACCCCAGCTTTCAACTTGTACATAGGCGCATAGCCTTTGTTTAAATTATTTTATATTATTTAGAGCAGAACAGAACAGAACAAAACAAAACAGAACAGAATATTTCAGTTGGAAGGGATCATCTAGTCCAACTGCCTGACCACTTCAGGCCTGGATTTCAGTGGCACAGGGTTTATCTGTGTCACTAAATTTTTAAGAGCACCGGAGTACATTAAAAAACTTGTGGTTTCTCTCTGTCATCCAGAATAAGTCATATCAAATGTTAATGCTCATATTCATAATTTGTTCTGTTACGTTACAGTATGAAGATATTTTATATCACATCATAGCTGATCATGATAATAGCCTCTGTGTGAGAACATGGACTCCAACTTTTTGGAGTCATCCTGATACTGCACATAGCTTTATGTTGTTTACATAATTTACTAGATGTGAATAGTGCTATTTTCCATGAGAGACAGAAGGTTGAAGAAGCAGTAGTAAAGTACTAAACAAGGGCAAATAAGCCCTTTGTAAGTGTTTCTAGATAGTATCTCACAGTAAAACCAAACCATCTTAAAAATAAACAGAACAAACCCCTTCAAATTACTTAGATTTTTTTTTTTTAATAAGGCACCAAGTGACATATTCAATACTGTCTCATTCTTCAGGTGAGTTCTTCAGGAAAAGACATCCCATCAAGTGCAGCAGACAAAGCTATGAGCAGTATTAGTTCTGCTAGTGACTCAGAGAATGACTGCAAGTATTGTAAAACAATACATTATTATCTAGTAGGCATTGATCATAATCATATCACTAATAAAGACAAAGCATATAAAATGTTGTGGTTTAACTATGCCCTTCAATGAAATAAAAGAAATGCCATGGAAATAATTCCAGTGCTAGCTATGTGATCCTTCTGAATGCAAAATGGAAATGTTTTGCATATAACTCAGGATGAAAGGAGTTACCACTCTAAGCTATCCACTTATTCATTTTCATTTAATACTCGTAGTACATCAGATGTTATAGATCTTTCATCATTTTGCTTTATGACACTGTAGAACCCTGGTAACTATGCTCCATGTAAAATGTAATTCCCTCATTTACCTGCCTGCTTGGATTGAACTGGGGGTTCTTAATTTGCTGTCGTGGTTTCAATGATCCTTTGTCATATTGTTATGATGAACACATTGCACATACAGCAAAGTCTTCTTCTTCTTAAGACAGAGTACAGATCCTTTCATCCTTGCAAAATGAATAACCAAACTAGGATTTTAATATTTGTGTTTGCTTTTGGGCTTATTATCTCTAACTGTGACTTTATTTTGTATGCTCCATCTGACTAGCTCTTGAAAAAATGGACCAGAGTTCTCAATATATCTGTTCTGTGGCTTTAAACTATCTCAGACTAGCACTGTTGTAGAGATGGACTGTACCATGCTGATTGAATAGGTGGCATTTTTATCATTACCAGCTTGAGGTTTGCACAAGGACCACAAGTGTCACTGGTAAGGTCCTATGGTGTAATTCTTCTGTTGTACCTGCCTTGCTTGAATTTGTTGGGTTGGTTTGTTTGTTTCTGCAGACTCCAGAGGAAGGAGCCTCTACAACCATCTATGCAGCAGTATCACCCGAGATGGAAGGAGTTGGTGGCTGCTACCTTTACAATGAGGAAAGGACAAAATCGGCTGATGTAGCATATGATGAGGAGCTGCAGAGAAGGCTCTGGACAGAAAGCTGCAAGATGGCTGGGATTTCTGATGAATCCAGCAGGGTTCCCTAGAAGATGCCACTTCCAGCTGGGTAAATGAAATTATATTGACAAGCATCTTAGGTGAATTCTTGCAGCATCAGTCATCATCCTGGAAATCACTGTTCAGTCCCAAAGGCAAACATGAACAGCTCTGTTCTTCACTTGAACCCCTCGTCTGCTAGGGTGTGGGGGGAAATATTCCCACAGAAAGATGTAGTGGTTGGTTTTAAATCTAACCATCAGTTTTGTAAATCATGATGTTTCAGTCTGTGATTAAAATACAGTCTTTAACCTTGTGCAGACTTGAGTTTTCATTTTTTGCTGAACGAAAAAACCCACTTTCCCTGATGAGCATGTAGTGTCTCTGGCATGTTGAACTTAAGCCACCTTTGTACATATAACTTACTCTTTTTTAATCAGTTTTAAAAGTTGCAGCCTTTTTTCTTTAAGCTTCATTAATATTTAAGCAACTATTTAATGAATATCTGCTTGGTTTAGTGCAGGCAGTTAGCATTTGTGATCGTTATGTTGTTCCTATCTGCATGCCAGATTTTATCCAGAGGTAAGAACTGAGGATCAGAACCAAAAAAAAAGGTAAATAAATAAAAACATCACATAGGATATTGAATTCAGTTGCTTTCAGTTCGAGTTCAGCTCTCCTTTAAAGACGAGCCTACAAACAAGAGAAAGATGAAACACAGTGATAGCAACATTAGTATTGGCAGAAGATGCATTCGGCCTGTTGTATTGGCAGTGGGCTAAGATTACTCATCCACTTTTATCCTGAACCCATGTAAACTTGCATCCACAACTTCTTGCATTTTTTTTGTTGAGGAGATTCACTCATCTGCTACTGCATGAAGAATTGCTTCCTTTCATTGGTTTTGAACCTAGTTCATCTGAGTTTCAAAACTAGAGTTCATGGTTTGGAAGAGACAGCAAATTAATGCCAGTCCACTTTTTCCACATTGCTACAGGCTTCAGACACTTCCAACATAGCTCCCTGAACTGCCTCTTTTCCGTGTTGAAGACTAGCTCCTACCTACTCATCAGACTGTAACAGGATATTTTGCCTTTTGTCATGTATTCCTTTCCTAAGAATTCCTGATAGCTGTTGTATTTTTAACTTTATTCAATTCTCTCTGAGTGTGGAGCTGATATTTTTATTAAACCATTTTTGGTAAATCCAAGATTTTTCTTTTGAGTCAGTTCAGAATAATTTACAGAGAAACTTCCCCTGGAAGTTTCAGTCAAGATTAGATGAGTCCCCAGAACATTTAGAAGGCTCCAGGGAGACTTTATAGAAGCCTTCCAGTACCTAAAGGGGTTCTACAGGAAAGCTGTATTGGGACTTTATACAAGACCATGTAGTGACAGGACAAGGGGTAATGTCTTTAAACTGAAAGAGGGTAGATTTAGATTAGATACAAGGAAGAAATTCTTCCCTGTGATGGTGGTGAGGCGCTGGCACAGGTTGCCCAGAGAAGCTGTGGCTGTCCCATCCCTGGCAGTGTTCAAGGCCAGGTTGGACGTGGCTTTGAGTAACGTGGTCTAGTGGAAGGTGTCCCTGCCCATGGCAGGGGGTTGGAACTAGATTATCTGTAAGGTCCCTTCCAACCCAAACCATTCCATGATTCTATGATCTCTCCTCAGTGAGAGAATGTTCTAAGCATAGACTGTGACTAGGGAGCCTGAATTCTTGCTGTTTAATGGAATAGGCTCTACCCTATTCCAATCTCATTAATTGTAGGTGTCATCTGAAAAAGCGATACAATCCTGCATTTCCTTTTTTTAAGATATACAAAGCAAATAGACCAATAGGTGGACATAATGCTTATATTCATTTCGGGGCACTGGAAATCACTGCATAACAGAACTCAGTGGAAACACAGTGTGCTCTCATTTGCAGCAGACTAGAAACAATATGAATGTGTTCCTATGCACTGAACCCAGGAATAATAATCCTTTTGGGCTTTTTAGCTCAAACCTGGTACTTCACTGACCATATCTCCAGCCTTTGGTTGAGAGAAAGATCACATCTAACTGGAAGAAATCAGACTAATATGTCTAGCAAGGAAATGAGAACAAAAATAATAAACTGAATGAGAGCATATTTCCTTTCTGAATTAAGTCATGCATGATTTATTCCTAGCTTAGTATATACAAGGCTAGCAGCAGGAAATGTATCACTCAGTCACTGTAACACTTTCTCTGTATGACTGGCTGACTTCGGGTTTTTTTGGTAAGTGAATGTAGTGCTTGTGAAATGTGCCAGACTGACACTCTGGGAACTAAATTCCTCTGTTTATTCACGGATCATGCACAGGATGCAGTAAGCCTGCTAGGCAGCCAACATTTTGATGTTGCCATAGCATTCCCACTGAACATCGTTGCTGCTAGAATATGTTCAAGATTACTCAAACTAGATGGCACCAAATTACCTTCAGTTTTAACTCTCCCAAAACTCCACAGTATTTGCACAACCTGTTTCAAGAGGCATAGGGATTGGTGAAACAGCAAACAGTAAAGAGAGCTACTCACACTTTCAGCGTAATCTGCACCACTGCATGAGCAGTCTCAGTTCAATGAAATCTGTTTTAAACAACACTGAAAACATGGTTTGTGAGAACCAAAAACACAGATTGTGCCTACATGGGGAAAAGAAAGTGTCCTAAAGCCAGGATTTCTAGAACAGTGCAATGCCATGAAGATATAGTTGAGCTAGTTGCAAAAGAGTTATTTCAGGAACTAAAAGCAGAAAACTGTTAACTCTGTAATGTCACATAAGCACAAGAGCTTGTCTTGAGCAAAATCCAGTGTTGTCATAAAGTGCTGTGTGTTACTGGGAGCACACACTTGTGATACCACTGCAAAAATCCTAAATAATCCTTGGCATATCTGTTTAGGAAAAAAAGAAGACAATTATTTTACTTCTGCACATGGAAATGTTAAGAACTGATTTGTTTTTCACATTTCAATGACATGGAATTTCCAGAGATCTGAGGAACTACATGTTTCGCTTCACTGAAGACATTGCTGAGGGATGGCTTGAGTCCATGCAGGAGGTGCATACGTATAGAAAAAAATACCAAAGAGCTTTTTAACCTTGCAAAGAAAGGCAAAACAAGCACCAGTAATTGCAAATTGAAGTTAGACAAATTAACCTTCCAACATGATATCAGATTGTCTCTCTGTGAGAGTGATTACATATTGGAACACGTAGATCTGATATCTGAAGATAATGAAAAGGTGCCTCTGAAAAGGTACCTGGCAAGGAGGCCAGGTTGGCTTCTATGCAAACTAGATCAATTACAGTGAAGTCATACTTAGATTCTTCCTCACGTCCAGAGTGATAGCACTTATTTTGATTAGTATGAGAATGACCCATTGCTCACAACTTCTATAATGGATATTTTCATGCCAGTACTCCACCAAACTAATGTTAAATGCAAAATCTAGGTGCCTTTTCCTCATCTCAAAAAGGCACACAAAATCTACTGTCCAGTTCAAGTGTGAGATCAACAGAAGCATCAGCTAAGGGCCACCATGCCCTTGATGAGGGAGTGAAAGCATTTCAAATGAATATTTTTATACCTATTTAAAAAGAGGTTGCTTTTCTTTTTCAGCTCCTGTCGGGACAAAAAAATCTTTAAAAGGGACGAAAAAGATGAACACTATTTTGAAGGATAGTTCAAATAAATATTATAGATCTTAGTGCAATGAATGCAGTTACCTAGAAATTTGATAAGACAATATTATTTGAACAATGAACTTGCCCAGGAAAGAAATAATGTGCTGACAAAGAGCCCTAAGTTTCTTAGGAAAAATGTTAACTTTTTCATTAACTAGTTTATTT